CAATCATGAAGACATTATTTCTGAGTTGTACATCTCCTCATAATGTTGTTGTAATATATGTAATCAATATGATGCCCAATGCACGTATGATCAAGCAGGATATTTGAGCCTAAATTAGGATAGACCACGTACAGAGGGACTTCTTTCAAGAAACTGCTGGGTGAGATCTTTGGATCTGTTAGCAACTAGCAATCAAACAAGCAAGGTGAGACAAATGGCCTCTCATCCGCAACCTTTATGTTCTTATGAGCTATGCACAGCCTACATAGTACAAAATGGAACAATATTTTATTTCATAAAGTTTCAAATTAAAGAAAAACTTTAAGGAACAGTACCTGTGACTAGAATAAGGATATAGCAAGAGTTAAATATATCAGGGAAGATGAAGGAAAAGGGAGAAATGAAAAGAAGAATGCAGGTGAAATGGTGTGCATACTGTATGAAAGGAATGGTACAATTCTGAAAAGAAATCTTCTTGTTTGTACCAAGATAATAGCCTCTCACTGATACTGACCAGTACTGGCCTAGAATTTGTGAAACCCCATGAAGCCAGCATCACACTACATGACTTGACACGACTTCTAGTCGGAGAGCATGTCAAATTTAATGACTGCAGTTGAATCTCGCTGCCTTTTCTGTCCTAGAGGGTGTCAAATTATATGACTAGGAATCACAGGATGTGACTACACGATTCCCTCATGACTTTTCATCATGGTTCCAAATTTTGCATTGCGCCGTGAAAGTACTGCGAGGTCACCTCATCTTGGCAGCCAATCAACATGGAGCACACCGGAATAAAAGGAGGAGGACTGCACGAAAGTAAACAAACAACAAACATGAAACGACAAACAAGAAACATCGAACAGACATCTGTGCTGGCTCCAAAGTTCGATGAGCCTCTCCTCCATTTGCACAGTCCAAAACACTCGCTTCTTTCCTTGCAGCTGCATTGTATGCATTGTATTTCCTGTTGAGCACTCATTGGCTGTTGACTGTCGCAGACACAAGAACCCTCCCCTATGACTTGCGATTTGCTACTAGAAAATCAAACCAATTTGATTTTTCCGTAGCGAGTCACAGAGAGTTGTCGGGGCTGTTAAGAGCAGTCTAACCAATTCGCTTGGGGTGTCACACTACAAAACTGACAATAACGGGCACGCACTGCAACCTTCTACAACTCGCTGTGAGTTTAATCTTTGCTGGAGTGACCTGGGGTCCTGAAAAGAAGGAGTCCTGGGAAGGGAGTTGCTGCAGATTAAAGGTAATACATAAAAAAGGAGATAAAAAGAGGTAACGGGACCAGGAACTCCAAGTCCCGGACTTGGCTGGTTCGGGATGCTGATAGGAGGCCTATGCCCTTGAGCCGCAGATGCAGGGTGACTCGGTGGCAGGCGGGCCTCCAGGCATCCATGTTCCTTGGCAGAGCCCGGAACAGAGTAAGCGTCTGGCTTTTGTAGGGAGGTTGGAACACGGAGCAGGTGCAGAAAATCAACTAAAATGTGAACGAGCCGGAGTGCCCGGGGGAGGGATTACAATTGTGACAATAATGTGTGAATATTCGTATCTCAATAAGCTTTATCACAATACCACACCTCTACATATACAGATTGATAGACAGGCCTGAATGCAATAGATATGCAATCAATTAAAAAATGGTGAGATGAATATACCTTAATTTCAAAAGGTTCAATATTATTTTCTACTTTGACTCTACTAATACAGTATGTATTGAGACCTGTACTGACATTTCATATCACATGAGCCTTTAATAATTCATAACTTCTAATCTTGCCTTTACAGACACTTTGTACAAGTTTGTCACAGGGTGAAAAAAGTGGGTGTAGGACAACGGCTTGGGGGTTATATCTCTTGAGTTTTTTCAACAATGTTTTGTGCAAACAATGAACATTAAACACAGAACTCAACTGGAAGTGAAAGATGAAATGGGCCTGTGTTAAACATTGTACATAGGAAAGATGATTTATAGAAGACCTACCAAGCTTATGTGTCCCAAGTTAAGAGAAAGCTCATTGTACTCAATTGATCATCATCCTCTCTGCTCTTGGGCTTGTTTAGTCTGAGACTGAAATATGATTGTTTTCTTAGTATACATGACACTGACTGACACTCTGCAGTCTGACACTGTAGTTAGGATCAGCTAATGCAATATGTGACAGCTACTGTATATGGGCTCTGTGATAACAATCCATTATTACATCACAGTGTCAGCTGAATACCTTGCTAACTGAGGAGAAACATGCTAATAAGGCAATTATGTATTTTACTGTATCAGTACAATATAGGGGATATTTTAGAAACCGTGCACTAAGAAGTGTACATAAATCTTTACAAGGATATGTAAAGTCTCACATAAAATAAGGAATTATCCTTAGGGTAGCCTGCCTTCTAGACTGACGATAAGAAAATGACTATAAAGGAGCACAGAGGATTTGTCCTTAATACAAATAGATCCACAACAGAGTAACAAAGTCTGCATGAGGTTTTAAGAATTAATCATTTCCAGAAATATGTAAAAACATAACTGTTTTTTCTGCATTTATTTTACAGGGTCCTAGTTCAGTGCCTAATACATCATACAGGTGAAGGTGAATTTTAGACTCATTCCCTCCTGTTTTATCTTCTCTTTGTTTCTTTTTGTTTCATTCTTGTTTACTGCTGTCTGTCTTTTTAAAGGCTGCATTGTGGCTTGATAGAGAATGTCTGAGGAAATTTCGGCCTCATAAGTTGTTGAGTCATCTGGCCTCCACTCAGTTGGAGTCGCTGTCTACAGTAGTCAGATAACCCTGACTTTGTGGGCTGCTTATATAATCAAATACCTCAGCCTTTAAAAAACTGCTTTTCTGAAAACTTGTGTTTGCCGAGACATTGAGACATTGACAAGTGTGAGAAAATAAATTGTATTAATATTGTTACAGCTTTAATGACAGAGGTGTATCTTAGGTTTCAGTTAAAGTTTGTGACACTTGGAAGGGTTGACACTTCAAACTTCAAAGGAGGGAGGATGTTTGCTGAGCTCGGGGGGGGGGTCCCTGGAGCAGAAACAATGGTAAAGTTTACCTTAAGGTAAGTTGTGGATTAATGATTGTCAAGGAACAGTCACGCCCCACACTCTCCCTCGCAAACACCTTTCCATTCCCAAACCCACTGTTTCACAATCTCTTTCCTAATTGAACCCATCACATTCCCACATGCATCAGATTCCACAAATTCTCACTCCTGAACCAATTATCCAACCACATCCCGTTCCTTTCAGTATTTAAAGTTCCCTGACACACCAACCCATGCTCACTATTGAGAAGCCTCCAGTAGAACTCTCTTGTGTGTGGTTCTAAGCCTTTTGACTGATCTCCTGGTACCAAATCTTTGCTCCTGCCTTTTGACCACACCTTTTGGATTTTGTTTTTGGATTCCCCTCATTACCGGACTCTTTGCCTCCCTTATTGACCAAGCCCCTGGATTATGCCTTTTTGATTGTCCCTGTGCTACTCCACATTCTGTGAGATTCATGGTTTTGCATAAGGATCCTCCAGTTCTACCAATTGGTTTCCTGACAGTACAGACACATGTAATATAAGATCACATTAACAGAGCACAGAAAGAAAAGTGGTAAAAGGAGGTGAAGAGCAAGGAAGAAAAAAGAAGAAACAGGGAGAAGAGAGGAGAATCCGCTGGAGTTGGTACTTGAAGCTTGCGCCAGGCGAGAGCCCCTGCTTCATGATCATCCAAATCAAACCTGACTTCAGCTGAGTATTTGAACCTTGTTAGAGAAAGCATGTTGTTCTGTGTGTTAGGGAACTCTGGTTTCCTGGGTCAAAGATACCTCAGTTAGAAATGTCTGGGGTTTCTGGGTGATCAGAATGGTAGGCCTCTGAAATGCCTTGCTTGTAAATACTGGACATAAAGTAACTTGTGTGTTGTATGTAGTGTAATTTGTGTCTTGCCATTGTAACACACTTAACTAAGTTTGCCTGAATTATTACTCCTCTTAACAAAGCTGTGCCAGAGAACAAAGAACTCATGTGCCTTCAATTATACCAGCTGCTCTGGTATATTCCTAAAAGTCACCTACTAGTCGGGGGTTATGAATAATTATTTCACTTCTTGGTAAAACCCCATGGTCAAGCTCTTTCACCAGCTTTATAACCCTCCATTTGTAACTTGGAGTAGTGAGATTCTGTCTGCAAATTTTAGCCTTGTCAGTCATATTTTAAAAGACTAACCCTTACAGAACTATGTTAAGGGATTGTAATTATTCTAAACATCTTTATGGCTTGTGGCTGATGTTATTTTAGAGTCATGAGGGGTCATTCCTGTTAATAATTAAGCTTTCAAAACCTCCAATTTGTACAGCATGATGATGAAGTGTTTTTTCCCCCCACTTTTCATCTCTATTGTAAAAGACTACTTACTATACACTATCAATGTTTATAATTAAGCACTAACTCTTTCTGAAAGCATGAGAAACTGATCTTAAAGTTTCTTCCTATCCCAGTTCAATAAAAATTCAAAGTAGTTTTGAGACCCAGCTTCCATATTGCATCTCTTTTGTATATTAAAAACAAGAGAGAGGATACTGCTTCAGATGCTTAGTAGTCTCCTTTCAGAGTGACTGAAATGTGTCTAAATTTACATGCTATAATGAGAATTAAACTATAGGTCTTTTAATATTCCTTCCAAATCCTTTTGTTTTATAAAACAAATTATTTCAAAATTGGTCTTGGCTAGTTACACCAACATCACTCCAAGAAGTGAGTGACAAATTACATTCATTTTAAATCATTAGTGTAAAGAAATATAAGGCTTTAATATTATTCCATTGAAAAGCACATCTTTTGTCATGCATGTCCTTTTTAAGGGAATGACATAAGCTCATTAATTATTGCAGCCCTTGGTTGTTTTTTAATAAAACAGGAAGCTCAATAAATAATGTTCTAGTGTTTGTGAATGATCTCACCACCACTAATGGTGAGGTACAACAATGCAACTATAGTCACATTATTCATCTACTTTCTCATTTGTTCATTCATTTGTTTGTTTTTGGTCAGTTTTTTTTTTGGCTTATGTTGGATCAGTGACCTCAGCCTGACTGCTGTAGACATGCATTACTGCAGGAAGTTATGATCTAACAGTATCATGTTGATGGATCCTCAAGGGTGCTTGATTCATACTGGAAGATATGCTGAGACACTGGGATAAGCCTATAATCATTGATCACATAGTCATTCACAAATGTCCAGGCATCTTGAGCCTACGCTGGAAAACTCCAACATTGAAATAGCACTTCTCTCTGTTGATAATGTGCAAATTACTGTAAATTTAAGAAATGTTTACCAGTCAAATAAGCACGGTGCTTAGTCTTAGTTTTGACCACCAAAAGCTACCAAAAGGCTTCTCAAACACTGCCAAAATAAGAAAAAATAACAACTTCTTCCATTTACATAATGCTTTTTCATCTTAAAAGGTCTTAAAGCATTTAACAGATAGGAGGGGACCCACATAATTGACTATTTAGTGCAACACCATTTTCGGTCAACCACAGCAAGCTACATCAAGCTATAGCAGTTCATGTGTAATTGAATGTTTCTTCAACTGAATTTTACAAGCCTCTGTTGGAATTTGGCCAGGATACCTGGGTTAAAACCATTCAAAAAATGCTGTTACATCTTTAATAATCAACTAATTCTGACCTTGCTTTACCCCTTTCATCTGGAGGACAGCACTACCTATTGCACACTATCCTTTGGAATTTCTTGTCCAGGGGAAAGAGCATCACCTACTGGTCCACCAGCACAGCCCTGAAACACACATTGCTATGACATCTGGCAGGTGGTTTCCTTTTAAGAGTCACTTCATTCCATGAATTACAAGACCAGTTCATTCAGTCATTTTAAATGCTGTCTGATTAAGTACTGTACATTTAGACTGTTTACAATAATTATATTTTAGATGACAAATATTTTTTACATCTTGACTTCTGTACAGGCTACAGGCATCATGTCCTCAAAACATGACATATTCACCGTCACAGAAGATCACAGTTGTTAGAATATATGTCACGTGTCCTCTTTTTACTTGACACCTGTACAGCTGAAGATTATCTGTACTGCACATTATGTTGGTTTCTCTAGTCACAGTTTCATTTAATTATTGGAGAGGTTTTAAAGTGCAGTCTTTCCCAAAGTTTAAATAGCATTTCAAATATGTACCCACGCATGTTTTTTAGGTTTATACTGTTCCCAGCTGTTATTTACATTTATTTTTACAAGGATTACAGGTTTGTCTGCCACCACATTTCTAATACATTGTGTACAATTACCTAAGAAGATGATAGTTCATTGGTGATAAAAATTAGTAATCTAGGCATTGCAGTGAAAAGAATAATCAATATTGTCTGTCCTCTCTCTACACATGTACTGTAGGTTCCGATACTGTGCAATCACTGACAATTTTGACTATGCTGTTTACCAATTCTTTGGTCCAAATGAGTGTATTTTGAAACTGTGCTAAATAATAATCAATGTTTTTTGTAATTCATTCATCATAGTAAATAGTAGGTACTGTATAATGTTCTAAGTGTCTGTTAAATGAATGTAAAAACCTTTACTGAATTAAACTAAGGTACAGTACATGTTACCAATACTTTCCTGCTCAATAAACTGTATGTTCTGTTACTTTTTAGACAGAGAAAATCACGAATGGTTGTTGATGTGGTATTCTGACACCTGCTGCAATAAAATTAAACAAGATACAGATTCTGGAATGAAAAACAAGCGTTACAGTTACTAGTTCCTGACCAGTTCGGAAAAGTCTTGCCAAAGAGGACAAAGTAGCAAGTAGCTCTATAGAAAGGAGATGCTGAGCGTCTCTCCAAGAGGGAATCGTAGAGAAGCTGGTTTGCTTAGTGTTACAATGGGTGGTGCTCCGTGTTGCAGTATTCAGTTGACAGTTTCTGGGAGTAGGTGGTGCTATTAAAATTCCAAAGGGAAAAAGCTCTCTCTCTCCGATGAAAACCCATTCATTCTCAACATGGCGAAGCCTGTAGGAATTCCTCAGAAAAGATACAGGGCACCTCAGATGATGCTGATGACCCGTTGCGGTTTACCAGACTTCCGAACTCCCAGCCGGTTATGATGTTGGAAAAATGGACAAGTTTTCGGCCAGCATTTCCGAGATCAAATGGAGCTCGGTGTCCTTGCCTTTGGATTTAGTAGTCAGCAAATTCAGATTGCCGACGCTTGTGCGGCTCGGCCAAGGTAAGAAAAGTTTACTTGTTTCGAAGGTGCACCTTTTTCGAGGGAGTGAAAAAAACAAGGGCTGTCAATTCGGTTAACAAAGGTTTTGACAGTTGCTGACACTTGCTTGTACATTTGAGACGGACTTTTAGTTAAGCATGAATCTTTCTTGATGCAATGCTGAATGAATATCATAACGGAAAATGATGCACTAGATAAAATTCCCTTAATTCACAAATGGGAACATAGTATTTCAGCTCAACTAGTTATTTAAAGCCGTTATTGACATCACATTTTGCTTTACCTATTTAAGACATCCTGTATATAAAAAAAGATTATTTCGCCCTTGGCACCAAAGGTGACAAAGTGTCTATGATTGTATTCCAGAAGTGATCTACAGCTATTCATATGGAAATCTTGTAATCGGCAACCGAGTGTCCTGAATACTAAGAAGCACAGCGAGAGCAAACGTCCAAGTTTAAAACAATTATCTGAACAATGTATGCCCTTTCCGCTATTTTCTTTTCCATAGACGCTTCCCAGAGGAGATAAAAATATTTACTTTAAATTACTATGATTGCAATTTTGAGTCCCTGTTTTCTGCGTGGTTATGATTTCCAGTCTTCTGTATTTGCATACAGAAGGAAACCCCTTCTACTTAAAAAGGCTTGGGGCTGCAGTCATATGTGCTTTTAGGAGATTTCCCATTTTCAGACATGCGATCTTCTTTTTCAGTTGTCAGATACAGATGATTGTTCTGTAGCAATACAATTGTATTAAATTAATATTACTCACATTGCATTAATGTGTGTGCTTTAAAACGACATTGAAGTAAATATGAGACAAGACTTGAGGGTGTATATGAGGGATCACAGGCAGAAGTAAAATACAATATTTTTCACTTGTGATTTTAAATGATCTCCAAGGATATATTCTCAAAACAGACAGGCATATCATTTCCCATCCTTGTTTTGCGTACCGCGGTGAAATAAGTAACTCAGCACTTCTCCAAGTGAAACTTTATCTCGGTGTGCGCTGGCTTTGATATAATTACTGCAGCTATTTTCCACATGCTTAAACTTAAAGGTGCAGTGCAGATATGGTTTGTTTTAAGAATGAAGGTCTCTTCTTGCTTTTATTCTCACTTATAGTTCCCACTCCCTACACGTTTTATTTTCTTTCTTTTGGTTGTGCACATAACACCTCTGATTAGTCCAGATATTAATCTTTATTATGCGTGAATAACTTTGACACACAATGCCAGATTTAAATGCCATAGGCTTCAGAACATATTTTCACGTTTACATTCTGCAGCGTAACCCGAAGAAGTTACGAAGTGGTACATTTATTTTGCACTAAACTTGGGGGGCACATTGCACTTGTGATGAACGAGATTTGTATCTAGTTCATCCTGCTCCGTGGTGATTCTTTCAGCTCTACATCAAGAAAAGAACTAGATTTAACTAATACCTAGTGCGTATACTTTTGGACTCTTAACTGACAGACTGGGGTTCAAGATCACGCTCCCTTGAGAAAGGTAATTTACCCCAGTTGGCCCAGGCTACCATGCTGAATAAGTGGGGAACAGCATTGCTGGGGTTTAATTCATGTGATGGATCAGTATCCCATCCGGTGTGGGGGAGGTAGTCACGTGTTTTCAAGTCTGAAGGCTACAGAAACCAGAGACGCGCTGGCCCGCTGTGATGCGCTGGACAGGGCAGGAGACAAAACCAAAACTGAACTTACAAGTCTAATTATGAAACGATATTTCAAGTTAACGGAATAAAACTACCGATTCTTCCTAAGAGTTCCTCAGACAATTGATATTTTATTACATTTTTTAAAACAATAATACAAACCTAACACACGATGAAGGGTTTATCAGTCTTTTCACTGTATATTACTGACCACATAATATTTAGATCTTAGCATATTCCTTATTTCCTAAAGTTGATAGAAAACTAAAAAGGTTAAAAAAACAGCAGAGAATTAGAAACCAACCTCTAAATAAGCAAATATAAGATAATTATTAGTAGGTTATCTTTAGCTTTCAGTCGACTAAAATTAATACAATTCAAATAAAATATATACATTTCCTTAAATTCTGGATTTTTTTCTAACAGTTTCAAATGAGTGTATGCTTAATTTATTTTGTGTATAAATATGCCTAAGTTGTAGGAGTTGATATGCACAGTATGTGGTGGGAAGCCTTCAGGGTTCATGCATGGCAGTTTTTCTCTCACCAGACACCTATGAGAATAAAACAAACATTTTGAAGGTTTTTCACTCTGGGTTCTTCTGGGTTCTGATTATAAATGTAGCTTTAGAAATTAGTATTTCAAATGCAAAACTGTACAAAGTCGAATAAAAATGTCTTGCAGCTGAAGGAAACGTGACACTTTCATTATCAATTTCACAAACTCTTTCGAATTAGTCACACATCAGGAAAGGGAGACATGGTTTCAGGTTTGAGTTAGATACAACATTCAGTCATATGTATTGCAGACCATATGAATGAGAGTTGTCCTAGAAGTTTGGTAAACTTGTGGTGCAGTAATCCTCCTACAGAATAAATTCCAAACTGCTGAGTTTTTGTACTTGTTCTGTGTCTTCTTGTGTGGCTGTATCTAGTACTGTATGCCAGAGTAAAACTAGACTGGATTTACAAGAGGGCTCCTGGCTAGTCTCTTTGTCTAACTGACCATCAAGTACTATCTGTTTGAGTATTTGTTCAGATTTTAATTTCACAATAGCTGTGTTATGAGTGTACTATTATAAAGGAAATGATTTTGATGTTATATACTGTGTTTTAGTGGCATTGCTCTGATACTAATCTGTGAAACTGGCCTTTAATAACTGTACAGGACAAAATAGCCATCCAAGTGGTATGCACAGGTTTAGGTAAACCAGTAGGCAGCCATAACTGTTGGTTTGTATAAATCTGGATTGTGTATTCCAGCAGTTAACCAGGTCATAATCTATGTGCTTCTATGATAGGAATTAGAGAGTTGAGTTGTGTTAGTCTGCAAGTTCATTTCAAAGGACACATGGTAGAATACAGTTATTGGAGTTTAGTTCTGTTTCTTTTAATACTTCACAAACTGTCTATTGTTGGGAATGTAAACTAAGATCTAGTGCGCTATTATTGCCTTTGATTCAATAATGATTTACATTTTTTATTACTTCCCAGAAATTTTGTGGTTCTTTTTCCTGTGGTCTCATAAACAGGCTTTTATTAGAATAATGGGTTCCTCTTGGAGGAACGGAAAAATGTTTTATAACCTGAGATGGCTAAGTCGTGCTGTGTGTTGTTTTCTGTTAAATTCTCCCCATTATGGAATCGCCACATGTCAAGTCAGTGGGGTTTACTGCTTTGACCCTTGCTCTAGCAGGAGATGGCAGAGGACTGAGCTGTAAAATGTGCACTGTGGGGCCATCTGTCACTGTTCAAGCCACGAGCCCCATAGTACCTGCTGTAGAGCTGGCACTGCAAGGAAGACAGCTCTCATTGGGAACATTGCAAACCCACAGGCATGCAGAAAACCAAAAGGCCACTGTTGTGCAGTAAGCTAACATAGCCCACACTCCAACAGGCGCTCAAAATGAGCACTTCTACTGAGAGAGCCACTCTACATCCCCTGTGTTCTTAAAAGAAAAGCAAATTGTAATTCTTAGCCAGTGGGCGTACTTATTGCAATTTTAATTCAAACCTGATGCATATCCTTTTTTTATTCTAGGTCAGTGTATGAAAAATCACATCAGCTAAATGACACATTAGCACATCTCTGTCTTATTACCTTAACCTTTTTTTTCTCAGTGGGAGTAATTGCTCAGAAGCCTAAGTGCTAACGGTTTTTAAGCCTCAAGAATCAGCTCAGACATGAATCTCAGGGCCTGCTGGAGTTGGTGTCACTCCACTAGACTTTTTAGATCCTGAGACCTTTTAGATTTCAGTGGGACGCACTGATTCATTATACAGAATGGAAGGAGAAGGTAACTGCTAGTCTTTAACTTCTGTGCCCCGTAATTTCTTTGTCTGAACTATTCTGAGGCCGTTTTCCCCATAAAAACAAATCAAGTCTTCTTCTTTCTGTCCTCTCACGTTGTAGATCTGCTGTACAAAAAACAAATGTTCGGGTATCACAAGCAGTTTCTTGCTGAGCCAAAGATACACTCCAGCTAATAGAGTGCTATAGGCATGCACTAAGGTTGCTCTATGGAATCAAAGTTCTGGAGTCAGGGGCAGCAGTCATTCAGACTACCATCAACTACAGAGCAGAACCTCTCATACTTGTCATGACTTGTCATACTCATCAGCCATCAGACATCAGCCATCAGGGAGACTGAAGGGCCTAATTATGCATAGAATTATGCTGTCAGATAATTTTTTTTGATCAACAACATCTGTAGCCAAACAAAAATCAATCAGGTTATAAGCCTGTCTGTACAGTGGTGTTAATACTGTTACTACAGCTAAAATTGCTTATGTGATTTTCTGTACTGTAGTATTGCTGTGCTGGAAGTCCCAGAGCAATTTTTCTAGTTTAAAGAGCTATCAAAAAAAATCACTTTCATGTCTTTTTAGCAAACAGAAGTTCTGATGATTATTATTCCTAAAGTTGATGCTCAGGCTTAAGCAGACATGATGTGTTGCCTGGGAAATCTTGCTAACTGTTGGGAGATGATGTGGCCTAAACTCAAACTGTTGATGTTTGGACTATAAATCTCAAGCTGCACTGTGGACAAATGCCCTTCAATGATCCAGCCCCTGGGGAGGCCACAGAAGCCTTTTAAAAAATGCATGCTACTATATCATTAATGGAATTCTGCCGCTACATTTTTAATACTGATTTTTTTAATTTTGGGGATGTAGGCTTTACATGGATGACTCTGAAAGCTGAACTTTTCTGAGCCGTTTATATTTATAGCTACAACAGATAACTAGGTATAATGTAGTGATTTGTAAGAACTGTAATTGCTAGAAGTTCTGGACTTACATTAAAGTTACATTGTTGGCATAT